GCAAAACTCCCATGAAAACCAGTGGGTCTCAGCCGCTCCATGATGAGCACCCCAGAATCCCACGGACATCAGTGGGAGTTATGGAAGCTCAGCATCTTCCAGGATCAGGCCTGAGTAAGATTTCAGGATATGGTCCCTGGGCAGGAGACGGGAACTCAGCCTGCACAGTGAGCTTCTTTAACTCACCCATCAATCAACCCGTACGCAAGCTCTGCAGGGCCTCTGCAACTGCAGAATGTCTCAGTATTTGGTTATAGTGCATAGAATCAAGAACTTTAGAAGTTTTAATTGTCAACAGGACACCAAGAATGGAGCCAAAAGCTCTGTGATCTCAGCAATGAGACCCCCAGTCGGAGCTCCAGCAAATGCTGAAACAGGGTGGGGAGTCTTAGGCCATCTCTACACTACCCGCGGGATCGGCAGGTAGTGATCGATCATTCAGGGATCGATTTATTGCGTTTAGTGTAGATGAGATAAATTGATCTCCGATCGCTCTGCTGTCGACTCCGGAATTCCACCATGTTGAGAGGGGAAGCAGAGTTGACGGGGGAACGGCGGCCGTCGATCCCGCACCGCGAGGATGCGAAGTAAGTGATTCTAAGTCGATCTAAGATATGTTGACCTCAGCTACGCTATTCTCGCAGCTGAAGTTGCGTATCTTAGATCGATTCCCCCCCCGCCCCCGCTCCCAGTGTAGACCAGGCCTTAGTGTTAAAGGTTATCACTGTGTCTGGTACTGGAGCTGCGGGCAGCAGTTAGGAAACACTAATCCAACCCCTCAGTGGTGAGATGTCTTCTGCAGCCCACCAGACATGGGAGCTTTATCCTCCCATTTCTCTTCTGGGCTCCTTCCTTTCTGTGTATATTTTGTCGGGGCACCATTGCATGGGAAAATAGTGTACCAGTTTCACGCAGGTGTAACCATACTCCTCCTTTGCATTTTTAGGCAGTTGTGCACTTCAGCTGCATGCAAGGATCCAGAATTTACCAACATTAATCAACCTTCACATGATCTGCACTGGGATGGAGATATTAGTATTGTCCCCTCTACAAAGGTGGGGAAACTGAGACCAGAGAGTTGCGACATGCCTAAGGTCACACAGGGAGTTAATTGATGAACCTGAACTAGAACCAGGAGTTCTGATTCCCAGGCCCTTTCACTACCTGAAAACTGGCTCCTGGGATACTGGCACCCTTGGCAAAGATGAGAGTTGGCACCCTCCAAATGCAGCCCAGAATCTTTTGCCTTTTTCTCAGTGAGGATCTTGCTATCAGAGGCTTCTGCCAGATCCTACACACGTGCTGTGGTTTGTGTTATACAGGAGGTCAGACTGGAGGAGCACAATTGTCCCTTCTGGCCTCAGAACCTATGAATCAACCATTTGACTACCTGCTCTTTCTCCTGTTGCTTGTAGCAATCTCCTGCAGGCCTCAAAGGGTGAGTGGCCCTGGCATTCATAGCAAGGTTCTAGTCCCCTTTAGATGTGCCATATACCTAACACTGACTCCAGGATAACCAACAGACTACCCAGTTCCCCTTAAGAATGGAATGTGTTTATGCTGATTTACTCTCTTCCTGCAAACTAACAGCAGAAATAAACCCTGCCCCTCTTGGTACCAAGTGGAGTCAGGAATCTGCAAAGAGCTTTAAATCTGCAAAGGTGTCAAGGGGGTAGTTTGAACTTGAAGGAATGTGGAAGATAGAAGCATTGATAAGGAAGACATAAAGGTGCCACAAGAGATCTGGGAGACGTCCACCAGCAGACAGAGCTGCATTAAATGTTAATGACCTGTGATGGATGATGGCAATGAATCAAAACATAATCTGGCTTTAAGGACATTTCCCCAGATAATCCCCTTTTGTCAGAGGCACTTTAGCAATGTAATACAATCTTTCAACCGAGGCAGCTGAGTCAGGCCAATGCCTAAGTGCAAATTTGGTTTCTCTCTGTCTCGCTTGAAAATATCCGAAGGCTCCAAACAGAGCTAAAAAAAATTTCCATGGGCCAGGTCCTCGGCTGGTGCCTATTGGCTTCGTTCCTTTGACTTCAGTGGAGCTGCAGTGACTTATACCAGCGTGGGAGCTGGTTCTGTGTTTTGCAAAAACGAATCTAAAGAAACATAGATTTTCAAATGGAAGCTGTAGCTGCTGTTGCGTGAGAGACCAACATATGGGGCAGCCTCCTAACATACCAGAAATTAATGGCAGTGCTACATGGACACCTGGGGCCTGGTTTGTTCTCTGGGTCTGCTGGTGGAAGCCGACGCAACCCAGGCTTAGCCCTCCTCATCCTGGTGATAGCAGAACCCTCCTGGTCTTCTGCTGGGTGGGATGGTGCAAAAAATGGTGAAAGAAGAAGGCCCAAACAGCCAGGTGAACCTCATCTCCTGGAGAATCTTCTATGGAACCCTTGCTGGAATGTATCTGTGCTCTGCAAACAGCACCATGGCATTCCATCTTTATTGTCTCTCGGTGACTCCAGATCAAATGTGCTTAGTTTAGAGGGAAAAAAAGATGTGGCTTTTTTTTAACTGCCAGCCATGCAAACCCAGTCTGAGATCTGAGTGCCAACCTGGGTTCTTTCTGGCTCACTCATCACCAGCACTGGAGATTCTACAATCTGAACATGGTAAAGAATTATGTTGATTATGCAGGATCCAGAACACAATCCAGCTTCTTCCTCCTAAACGTGTGAGTTCTGCAGGGCTAATGGGAGTTAAAAGTTATTCAAGTTAGCACAGTTGCAACAGGCAGCTATGAATCTGAATTCAGTAAAGCTGAATGAGAAGGTGCCACTTTTACAGGGTCCCTTTTCAGAGACAAACAGCACTTCGTAAGTGTCCTGCCCTTATGGAGTGGTTTCCCCATAGGAGCAGGGTGGTGCTACTGGAATGAACCAAGCTCATTGCATAAAATGTATCTCTTGTCACTACTGCTCACCTTGCTTAGCAGTCCTGAGAAGGCCCTTCCCAGCCCACAAGTCATAAAGAGCAAAGCTGTTGATTGAGTCTTGGGAAGAAGCTGGAAGGATTGGGCAAGAGCCTGGGCACCCAGCAGTGTTTTCTCTACACTCTGTGAGCTGGAAAATTAACCCCTCTGGCTTCAGGCTTTAAGCTGAGCACTAACCACAAACATCCTCTGTCCTTTGTACTCTGCTGCCAGGTTGTCAGCAACATCTCTGCCTCTTGTAAATAACCCAAGGGAACACCAGCTGGGAAGCTTCAGAGCTGTTTCTCTCAATGCCAGCCATTGTTCACCAGGAGAAAATCATTCCACGTAGCAACTGTTAGAGGGTGGGACTTCCCAAGGGCTCCATTGACAAGAGGCTGCCGCCAGTGAAAGAACCACAGAGATTGGCTGGAGACTTGCCTCACCTTTCGCCTCCATTTTCTTTACCACGGTCCGGTTTTAACCTGTTTGAGACCCACGCTGCAATTTGGGAGTATTACCAGAGTGAAGCAGAGCTACTGCCTGCTCCTCCATGGGGGTGCTCTGCTGCGCTATTATTTTGTATGTGTCTTCTCCCAAGGACACAGTCGTCACTAGCCTTGGCGAAGCTCAAACCTCCCCCATGTTCTTTCCACCTCCTCCCCCTCCTCCCTTGACTCTCAAAGTTCTTCTGCATGAGGCCGGACATCCCTCAGTGGAGCCCATCAGTGTTACTCCATAATTGCTACAAAGATTACCAGTAAGTGACCTGTGGCTCCCTCCCATCTCCCATCACGCTCCTCGGAATGTGAGTGCTATCTCCAGAAGGTTCCCACTCCCTGAAGCAAGACTTTGGTGGTCCGTGGCAGCTGATTGTATAGCTCAGCTTGACAATTGTTTCAGATGGATCGATCCTGCAAGGATCTGAGTGCCCAACCCTCACTCATAACAGGAGCTCGCAGGATTGGGCCCTTACTGAGGCAGCCATCTGCTCAAATCCATAGCCCTCCCCCTTTCAGTATGAAGACATTTAAAGGTGAGTACTTTTAAATCTCAGGAACCAGATTCTCCATTGCCCTACTCCTTGTGTAGATTATTTACACAGTGTAAATTGAGTGCAAACTGCTACCCATTCAGAATGGCAATGACTGATACCTGCTTTGGACTGATGTACATAACTGCACAAGGTGCAAGGCAGTGGAGAATTAGGCTCAAGACTAGAGAAGAGCTCAGTCCAAATGTCGAGTTTGGAAGCTCCTCGACTTTAGGGAAGTCTGCATCCATATCCCGACTTTGCCGCTGAGCCCCACAGCTCACCACTCTCGGAATAATCACTTCTGTAGGTGATTAGGGAAAGAAGCATGCAGTCCCTCAATGTGGCTGACCATCCTGTCCAGTGGACTACAGTTTGCAGACTGCAGTCCTGGAGGCCTCTGTTTGGACAGCTGGGTGGAGAAGGATTCTCATAGGTTAAAATGGAAAACCACTGGATCGAAGAAAGGGGCAGGTAACCAGAGATAAAGATATGGCATAGACCTCAGTTGCCTGAACACCCAACCATGGGCTTCACAAACAACAAGGAGGGTTTTCTTTGTTTTGGTTTGTTTTTGTTTTTTTTTAAAAAAAGACTTCAAACATGAGGAACAAACAGCTTGGCAGGTCTGAACCTGTGAGATTAAATCTTGCAATAAGTCCTAAAAATGAGAAAATAGCTGGTATTGCTACAGGGCAGACAGCAAGGAGCATTAGGTATACTGAAATATACCCCACCCAGAAGGCAGAAGATAGTTTTCTGCAAGTCAAAATAGCAGAATAAGCAAAGTAATCAACTTGATCTATATCTTGTGACTGGATTAAATAACCTGTGGGTCTGTTGTGCTGGGGTGAGTCAGAGTTACACGGGCTGTCTCCTCAGTGGGTATAAATCAGCACAGCTGAGGGCTTGGCATGATAGCTAGAGAGAGCAAGATTTATTTGTAAAAGAATAAAAAAACAAACCAAGTTTTTTTATAGTAGTCAGTGAGTAAATTACTGGAGAAGGAGCTCAGTGGGATAAAAAATTTATTCCTCCACTAACACGTAAGAGAGAAACTCAATGACTCCATTATACAGAAACAATAAGACGGTTGATCTGATTTACATACAAACAAATGAAACCTAAAGGCAGCACCAGGCTAGATAATACTTTCACAATAGTGAATAAAATGGGTCAGTGGTCCATTAAGGGGATGGATGGTCTTACAGTTAAGGCAATGGACCAGGACTCAAGAAATCTGCATTCTGTTCCTTGCTCTGCCACAGACTCTGCGTGGTACCTTGGGCAAGTCACTTCCATCCAATGATTAAGCACTAGAACAGCCTGCCAAAGGAAGTGGTGGATTCTCCATCCCTTGAAGGTCTTCAGATCAAGACTGGATTCCTTTGTGGAAGAGATGATTTAGTCAAACGCAAGTTATTGGGCTCAGTCCAGGAGTAACTGGGTGAAATTTAATTATCCATGATACACAGAAGGTCAGACCAGAGGATCTAATGGTCACTTCTGGCCTTAAAATCAATGAATCTATGAAAATCTCTCTGTCTAAAATTTTCAAAAGCACCTAAGTGTCTTGGGAGCCTAAATCCCATTTTAAAAAGTGATTTAGGCACTTTTAACTATTCACATGTGTAAGTGTTCACAGGATCAGGGACTACAGACCAATCCCTGAAATCTTTACTCAGGCAAATCTCCCATTAAAGTCAGTGGGTAATTTGCTAACAGTAAAGACAGAGTAAAAACTAAGTGGGAGCCTCATGAATTGGCCCAGTGATAATTGATCTGACCTGGCTTCTGTGATGCTGACAGACCAGCTCAGGTCAGAGCCTTAGGCCAATTAACTTGTGTGTGAATATCAAAGCAGTGAAATGTATTAGCATATATTCAGGCCAAGTCACTTGTATGTTAATACAGATCAAAGGAGATGTTAATTATAGTTTTTGCCTATATCTATATCTAACACTGATCTGGTGTTTACTATTACATTACATTTACATTATGCATGCCCGGTAATTAAATAACCCTAGATCAAAGTGTGTGTTAATGTGAGAGTGTATTCAGGAGTTATAAATTCATGAAAACTAATGAAATGTTTCTTGTATTGTTTTCACTTATCTATTCCTATTATAATGTAATGGCAGGCATTTACATTATGTGTAACCCTGTAACAAAATAACTCATCAAATGCAAATGAAGAAAAATGCTAAATTCAAAGCAATTGGCCATTGTGTGAGTAAAAACACTTATGAGATTGTTGTCTGTGAAAAGAAGCTATAAGTACTGATTCAAAGGAAGATCCTTTATCTGTGGACAGTTTGGATTCTAACAGGGCAGAATAATTGAATAAGAAGATGGCGCTCCCCAGAATTATTCTGGGTAGTGCTGGAAAACTTTGGGAAACTGGCAATCTATTACATAACTGCCACCATTTGGAGTTACAAACTGTAGTTTACCTATTATTATATTTTACCTACTTTAAGAACATGTCTTCACTTGCATGTCACCGCAAAAGCATCACCGGTAAGAGCTGTATGCCTCTCGTAGAGGTGGTTTTCCTTTTGTGGTGAAACTTCTGAGCAGGGCCGTCCCTAGCTATTTTGGAGCCTTACACAGCCACCCCCCTGCCGGGGGGCTGTGTTGGGCCCCAGGCCTCCATGGGGGGAGTGGGGTGGGCTGGCCCCAGGCCTCCGTGGGCGGGAGCAGGTGGGGGGGGGGGCTGGCCCCAAGCCTCCATAGGAGACGGGGGCTGGCCACTTCCTGCAGGAAGTGGAGTGACCTGGCCCCAGCCTGCTCCACTCCCCTGGCTCCCAGCCGCGCTCCGGCAAGTGCTGGGGGGCGGTTACCCCCTCCCCCCAAGCCTGGGAGCCAGGGGAGAGGAGCAGGCTGGGGCCGGGTCACTCTACTTCCCACAGGAAGTGACCAGCCCTCTCCCACCCCACTTCTCCCCCTCCCCATCCTCCATGGAGGCCTGGGGCCCCACACAGCCCCCCGCAGAGGCCTGGGGCCAGCTCCCCCCGCTCCCGCCCGCGGAGGCTTGGGGCCCCAGGCTGCTCTGCTCTGCTGGCTCCCAGGCTTGGGGGGGACGGGGAACCACCCCCCAGCACTCGCCAGTGGCATGGCTGGGAGCCAGGGGAGCGTAGCAGGCTGGGGCTGGGTCTCTCCACTTACCGCACCCTGAGTGCAGGGTCACACCTGGCTGCAATCTTCAGGAGAGTGGGGGAGGGGCTGGGGCGGAGCAGGGGCGGGGGCCTGGGGAAGAGCCGGAGCAAGGGCTGGAGCAGCACGCAGCAGTGCAGGGCACCAGGAAATTTGGTGCCCCAAATTTCCTGGTGCCCTACGCAGCTGCGTGCTTTGCGTATGGGTAAGGATGGCCCTGCTTCTGAGTTTCACTGCAAAAAGTCATTGGCAAGTGTAGACGCTCCCATGGTTTTTGCGCAAAAAAGGGACTTTTTTTTCGCTTTAAATGGCAAGTGTAGACATGCCCAAATCCTATTTACTCAGCTTTTAGCCTCCTCAGGATCTCCCACAGTCCCTAGGTGACCACTCTAGCCAGCAGCTCTGCTGCTCTGTTGCCAGGTAAACAGACATCCACCCCTCCCCCTGTAAAGCCCCGGGAACTTTGAAACTCCCCTTCCTGTTTTCTTGGCAAGTGCTCACTGATCTGGCCAGGTGACAATGCCTGCTCCACGGAGCCAACGATCCCCTGCTCCCCTGGAGCAATGCTGAGCTACTGGAGCTTATCCGTGTTTGGGGAGAGGAGGCTGTGCAGGGACCCAGGATGCCCCGCAATCAACACCCCCTTCCCACAAGACCCATCGTCAAACTGGAGAGAGCTGCACTGTGGGATAGCTGCCCTAAACTCGGACATTCCCCAACATGGTGATGAAGTGAAGCTCTTGGTAGTTAAGTAGTTTCAAATTCAGGATCTGTCTATTATTACTATAGAATCTATGAGCCTCATTCCTTGGTTCTCAATTTTCCTTAATAACGTTGTGTCCTGGGCTTTACTGAAACTCTTTTGGAAAAAATCTGAAAGCCACCTCATCATCCACCTTCAAAATCCTCTTCAAAACTCTCCTTCGCCACGGTGCCTACCAAAAATTTGGCAAGGATTAGGAGGCTGGTATGCAGAGACCAAAGTTTCCATTGTTTCCTTGTGCTCTCCTGTCTGTCTGTATCCATCTGTTGTCTCTTGTCTTGTACTTAGATTGTAAACTCCTTGGAACAGGGACCATTTTTTTGTTCTGTGATTGTACAGCATCTAGCACAATGGGGGACTAGTCCATGACTAGGCTTCTTGGTGCTATGGCGATGATAATCAGTCCTCCTCCTCTTCCACTGGCACTGTCTTATCTGCTGTCATGAAGAAACCTGATTGGCCAGAGGTTCACATAACTTATGAATAAAAACAACAAGGAGCCTGGTGGCACCTTGAAGACTAACAGATTTATTTGAGCATAAGCTTCCATGGGTAAAAATCCCATTTCTTCAGATGCATGGAGTGAATATGACAGATGCAGACATAAATATACTGACACATGAAGAGGAGGGAGTTACCTCACAAGTGGAGAATCAGTACTGACAGGGCCAATTCGATCAGGGTGGATGTAGTCCACTCCTAACAATAGATGAGGAGGTGTCAATTCCAGGAGAGGCAAAGCTGCTTCTGTAATGAGCCAGCCACTCCCAGTCCCTATTCAAGCACAAATTATTGGTATTAAAATTGCAAATGAATTTTAATTCCGCTGTTTCTCTTTGAAGTCTGAATAACTCTGAATAAGCTTCTGAACCTTTAGAAGCTTTTCCGGTCAATACAACTGAACATCTTCTGCCTCAACCACCATTACTAGCCTTAACCTGATATCAAATCAGAGCTCCCCTGACAGGAACCATGGCAAGAAAAAAGTGTCTTTCTCTCCGATGAAAGAAAATAGCAAAGCATTTCGAATTGCTCTTGTGTAGCATAGAGATAAGGTGGGTGAGGTAATATCTTTTATTGGGCCAACTTCTGTTGGTGAGAGAGATGAGCTTTGGAGCTCACACAAAGCTGGGTGTTAGATAGTCATACATTGAGAATGTCTATGTTAGCAAGCACAGAAAACCTGTTAATGACCTGTAAATCCCCTCTTTCCCATGCAGCAATTTTCAATACCTGGAAGAAAAAATAAATGAGTGCACAGCCTGGCTCTCCTAGGCATGATATTTCCCAGTGTGGTGATGGTAGGTGAAGAAGAGCTCTGTGTAAGCGCCAAAGCTTGTCTCTCTCATCAACAGATATTGGCTGAATAAAAGATATTATCTCACCCACCTTGTCTCTCTAATATCCTGGGACCAATATAGCTCCAACACCACTGCTTACAACTTGTGTGACAAGCTATTCCAATCTTTTTGGAGACTAGAACTCAACTACAAGAACATAAGAATTGCCATACCAGATCAGAACAACCTTCTGTCTGGTGTGGTACTTTTTCACTGACAATGGCCAGTAACTATCTGTCAAGGCAGAAATGTGACACAGCCAGGGACTGCTCAGGTCACTGTTTCCCTAGACAGTTGCTTTTGCTGTATGGGAGCTAAGGCTATCTTTTTGCTTTTTCAGGTCAGTACAGACATACAGAGCCCCATTCTGTTCTGAATAATCATCATGTGGAAGAGGAAATCAGCAAGAAGCAGAAAAGCAATATCTATGCACTGGGCTATGAATGGCAGGCAACCACAAAGCAGTTATTTGCTAGCACATAACTGATCTGGTCTTATACCAGACATCAGCAAGTAATGGTACTCGCGCAGACTCCACTACTGTAGCATCTGTGCTCTGGGAGGGAGGAATGGAAGTGCTTATAAACTCACTTTTACAGATGAAGAACAGAGAGAAAAAGTAACGTACCCAAGGTCCCACAGGCCAGCCATACCAGAACAGGGAACTGAACCTCTCCCAAGTAGAGCTGAATGAATAATTGAGTTTTCTGTTTGGGGGCCAAACAAAAAAATCAGGGAAAAATAATTATTGTGGGTTGACCCAAAATGGAAAATTTTGTTTTTTCTCATCAAAACAACAACAAAAATAATTTGGGGTCGAATTAAATGTTACATTCGATTCAAAACACCTTTTTTCCATTTTATTTTGTTTCAATAGAATGTATGACTTTAAAAAAAAAAATCACGTCTTTTCTGGTCAAAACTATTCACCCAATTTGACCCGAATTCGTCAATAGTTTTGGTCAACCTGACATTGCACTTTTCAGCAAATAATTTATTAGTCTAAAATTTTTTGCCTAATTCTGCTCCCAAGTCCCAGGCTAGCTTTCCAACCATCCTAGCCTAGCCCTACTTCCTTCCTGAGCTGTCTGTCTGTTGACATGGATGTAGAGAACCTTACAAAGGAC